TGAGCATCTGGGTGGGTTTAGCCATTTTCATTTTGCTATTTAAAGCCCCCAGACCAAGATGGGTGCAAATAACAGGCCTGTAATGGGAAACAGCCTGTAAAATGCCCTGGGATGTAACATTTGTACACTGCCTTTATTAACTGCGAACTGGGTTTGTCATTAAAATCATTAGCAGAGGGAGGGGTCTGACTGTATTGGGGTCACTGAGATTTTGGGCAGTAAGAGGCTGTCTGGAGCACTAGACTTGGGTCCCATTTCTACTTTCACCATTGAGCTTGGGGAAGTCACTTCTCCCTCTGTGCCTCACTTTCCCTGTCTATAAAATGGGGATAATGGTCATTCCTTTGCCTGTTTAGACAGGGGAGCTTTTCAGAGCAGGATCAGTCTCCCACTGTGTCTGTGCAGTGCCCAGCACAATAGGGGGTCTCTTTCGCGGTCTGTGCAGTGCCTGGCACAATGGGGCCCTGATTTTGGTCGGGATCTCTGCAGTGTCAGGCACAATGGGGGCCCTGATCTCGGTCGAGGTCTGTGCAGCGCCAGGCACGATGTGTGCCCTGACGTTGGACAAGCACTAGCATAAGACATATTATTAATAATAACAGTGATGAAAGCCGTGAGAGGCTGCAGTGTGCGAGGCCTGTACGTCAGGTGGTAGGGCTCATATCTACAGATTGATCCTCTGGGCACCTAGAATGACACCTAAGTCTGATCATGGCCTCGCTGGGTACCGCACAGACCCCTAATAAGATCGGGGTCCTGTTGTGCCAAGTGCTGCCCAGACCCTGACTGAAGTGAGGGCCCCTTGTGCCGGATGCTGCACAGACCCACAGTGAGACAGTGCCTCCCTGAAGAACTTGTCATCTAAAATTGATGAGATCAGAACTGCGTATTGGATTGGGAAGCCCAGTTCCCATTAATTAACTCTCTGGAGCTGGGATGTTGTTTTGTTCTGTGTTTGTACAACATCTAGCGCAGAGGGGCCCTGGGCCATGACTGGGGCTCCTAGGCACTATGGTAATACATATAATAATGGGAACTGATTTCCAAATTCCTTAGCCAGCTTTGAAAATCCCAACCGAGGCACAAAGAGATTCAGTTACATGGATTTGCAAATGAGACAGGAGCCCAATTGGCTTTCATTGTCATTTGGGGGCCTCATTCCTTTAAAATTCCTAGCCTAATGACTTATCCAAGATTACTGGTATAGTCTCTGGTAAAGCTGGGCTTTGAACCCAGGTTTCTTGAGTGTTAGTCCAGTGCCTTAACTGCTAGGCTACATGCACCCTTAGGTAGCTGCTGCTAGGGTGTAGTTTACCGATGTGATCGTTCCCATCCCTGCCCCTTTCACTCACCTGTCCCTCATCCTCACAGGAATTGGTCGATGGCCTGTACTATTTCCGGGATCATTACTTTGAAAGCCATGGTGTGGAGGATGCTGGGAGAAAGCAGCAGGACATTCTGGAGGAAATGGAGAAAACGCTACAGCAGATGGGCGAGATAGATGGTAACCGGGTATAAGAGGGAAATGCACCCCCTGCCCTAGAGGGGAAAACCTGGCATCCCATTCCCCATGAGCTAGCCAGACCTAGGGTCCCTTGGGACTGGATTGGAGCTGCCACTCCCTAGAAGGGAAAGGCCCTATGCCCCATTCCTCACCCCCCCAAGCCACCCAGTCCCAAACCCTTGGGCTGGATTGGAGCTGGCGACCCTAGAGGGGAAAGGGACCAGTGTCCCATTTCTCACCTCCTGAGCCAGCCAGCCCGATGCCCTGGGACTGGAGGAGATTTGTGCCACAGGCTATGCCGTCCCTTTGCGGCTCTGTCTCTCCAGGCTGTTCCCAGGACCGGGCTTGGGCGCTGATGCTGAAGGGGAAGGCTCTGAACGTTACACCCGACTACAACCCCAAGGCTGAGGAACTGCTGGCCAAGGCTGTGAAGCTGGACCCGGAGCTGGTGGAGGCCTGGAACCAGCTGGGCGAGGCCTACTGGAAAAAGGGCGACATCACAGCAGCCCACACCTGCTTCTCTGGGGCCCTGGGGCACGTGAGTCCCACCCCCAGGCATCCCGGTGGGCTGGTGTGGCCAATCCTGGGGGTAGAGAGGGGAGAGACCTGGCTGCCCGTTGAGGGGCTGGGTAGCTGGGGCCAAGGGGCCGATCGGGGGGGCGTGGGGGGAGGAGGGGAGCTGGGCTGAGGCCTGATCCCGGGAAGTGGAGACAGGGCTGGCTGGGCCGAGGGGCTGATTCAGGGGAGGGGAGGGAAGGGAAGGGAAGGGGAGACACAGCTGGCTGATCTGAGGGCAGAGGAGTCGTGGGTGGGGAGGCGGGAAGCTGGGCTGAGTGCTGACCATGGTTCCTTGTCTCCCCCCGTAGCGGAAGAACAAGGTCTCGCTGCAGAATCTGTCCATGGTGCTGCGGCAGCTGCGAGCCGAGAGCACAGAGCAGCATGCCCAGAATGTCATGGACAGTGTCCGGCAGGCCAAGCTGGCTGTCCAGATGGACATGCGAGATGGCCGCTCGTGGTGTGAGTGATAGCCCCTTTCCCTCCCCCAGGCACCGCTCCTGCCCACTCCCTGCTTCAAGGGACACTGGGACCCAACGTGGCACCAGCTGGGAGGGGCTCAGGCTTCTCAGTATGCTCTGCAATTTCCTGCCCTTCACTTGACTTATGGGGAGGATAATATACCCCAGCGATATCCCTACATTCAACCCTCCATTCTCAGTTATGTCCCACCATCCCTCCATCCTCAGCTATATCCATCCCTCCATCCATTCAACCCTCCATCCTCAATGTCCCGCCATCCCTCCATCCTCAGCTATAGCCATCCATTCCCCTCAGCTATATCCCTCCACCCATCCATCTTCAGCTATAGCCATCCTGCTACCCATCCTCAGCTGTAGTCATCCATCAATTCTCTATTCTCAGCTATATTCCTCCAACCAGCCAGCTGTTCATCTTCTTTGACGTCCTCTGTCCATGTGGTCTCCTTGCTAACCTCTGTGTCTCTCTGCCGCAGATATCCTGGGAAATGCCTACCTCTCGCTGTTCTTCAACACAGGCCAGAACCCCAGTATCTCCCAGCAGGCCCTAAGTGCCTATGGCCAGGCGGTAGGTACTGCCCTGTCTTCTACTGGTTGCACGGGAGCCTTGTGCTGCAGGGAGCAGGGCAGAAGGCTCAATGGGGGCGCTCAGATGTTGATTTCCTTTCCAAACTAGGAAAAGGTGGATCCTACAGCATCCTGTAACCCGGACCTGCATCTCAACAGAGCTACGGTGAGAAGGTGGGAGGGAGGGGAGTGGAAGGTGTGACTGAAAGGTGTTGGGGGCTCAGGAGGGGCACTCTCTCCTGGCAGGCAGTGCCAGCATCAGTGCCCCAGTGTGGTTTTAGGGGGCTCTGTGTCCCTGTGTCTGCTGCCCCCTGCTGGATGGAATGAGCCCTATACTTTCTGGTCTAACCACTAGACCTCTCTCCCCTCCCAGAGCCAGGAATTGAACCCAGGAATACCAATTCCCTGCACACACTGCTCTAACCCAGTGGGCTTCCCCCTCCCTCCCTCACACCTTGAGCCAGGAATGGAAACCAGGAGTCCTGGCTCCCAGCCCCCTCACTCTAACCCACTAGACCCCCTCAGGCCTGCAGTAGAACCCAGGAGTCCTGGTGCCAAGCCTTACTGCTGTAACCATAGCGCTATGCTGTGTTTCTCTTGGGTCAGCTGCATAAATATGAGGAGAATTACACAGAGGCCCTGGAGGGGTTTTCCCGTGCAGCAGCCCTTGACCCAGCCTGGCCTGAACCCCGGCTGCGCCAGCAGCAGCTTCTGGATTTCCTGGAGCGACTCACCAGCCTCCTGGAGAACAAGGTAGAGCATCTCCCCTGCTCCCTGCCTGGCTTACAGGGAGACATGTCTCAGTCAGTGACCCTGCCCTCCTTCCTCCCCCTGCAGGGCAAAGTGAAGGTTAAGAAGCTGCAGAGCATGCTGGGAAGCCTGCGCCCATCCCAGCTGGGCCCCTGTGGGGATGGGCAGTACCAGGGGTCCTCAGGCCAGAAGGTGGCACTGGAGCATCGGCTCTTGAGCGCCCTGCAGCCGGGTGTCAACACTGGGGCCGTAGTGCTCGGCAGGGTGGTCTTCAGCCTCACCACGGATGAGAAGGTGCCCTTGTGAGTACCACCTGACCATCCATCCATCTTTAGTGCTTTCTGTTGATGTTGCCTATCCTCCTGCTGTCCATCTGTTTGTCCTGAGCTCTGTCCTCCATCCATCCTGCTGTCCATCTGTCTGTCCTGAGCTCTGTCCATCCGTCCAGCCTGCTGTCCATCTGTCAGTCCTGAGCTCTGTCCATTCTTCTGTCCATCTGTCAGTCCTGAGCTCCATCTATCCACCCATGTTTCCTCAATTCCGTACACACATCCAACCATTCTCATAGCCATCCATGTGGCCTTCCATCCATCCATCTATGCATCCTCAGTACCATCCATCCGTCCCCTCACCTCCTGTCCCATCACCTTACTCACATTCTCGCCTGGTTTTCTGGCAGCACGTTCGGCCTGGCTGACTCCAAGGGCCCCTGTTTTGCTGTCACTGTCTATAACATGGTCCAGAGCTGGGGTGTGCTCATCGGCGACTCAGTGGCCATCCCTGAGCCGCACCTCCGGCATCACCACGTCCAGCACCAAGGCAAGGTGAGTGTGGCCCAGTCCTCCTTGCCCCAGGCTTAGTGCTGGAGTGATTCCTAGGCCTGGCCCTGCAGAAGGAGGGATATGGGACGTCACCAGAGACAGGTTGATACAGGACTGTAGCCCTTCGTCAGTTTAAGGGTTAATCCCCACCCTTTCCTCATGCCCCTCCCTCCACCTTTTGTTTCTTCCCACCCCCAGTGGTGTGGTGGCGGGAGGCATGAATGAACTCGACACTTCCTGTCTGCTACTTGCATCACTTCCTATATGAGGTGTTAGACCTCAGTTACAGGGCCACAGATGCCAGAGTGATGGGGCCTTTCCCACAGCAGCTGGGGGCAATGTGTCTTTCCCAGCCCCCTTGTTATGGGGTAGAGGTGGAAGTGCCTTTAAATTGGGGGAGGGGGGTTGCAATTCTCTACCCCAATATTCACCCCGACGTCCAGGGAAGCAGAAGCCCACTAGCTGCCCAGCAGGGAAAGAGTTAATTTTGACACTGTTGCTGGGAGACTGGGCACCTCCTCCCTCACTAGAGCACATCTCAGTCTTCTGCAGGAAGGCGGGAGAACAACACACTGGCTCTTCAGGTTTTTACAGCTGCCTAGGGGATTTGGGCTCCTGACATCTGTTAAATTTGGGCACCCAGATCCCTTAGGCAGGTTTAAAAACCTCAGCACATGAAATGAAAATCACCATCAGTAGGCGTTAACAGTGGAATTTGCCCTGCCTCATAGATGGGTGGGGAAATTTCAACCCATGATGTGCAAACAGTCATTAGTAGCATTCAGAGCTAACCACCTTCTGACTGACTTCTCTGTCTCCACGGTACTCCCAGAGCTTCTCCTTCCCTGGGATCCGTGTGGAGACCCCACTCCTGCTGGTGGTGAACGGCAAGACGCAGGGACCTGGCACCCAGGCGGCAGCTACTGTGGCATACCGAGCGCAGAGCGAATGATGCCATGGGGAGGGAATGTGCAAAGATAGCTCCTTGCCCTCGGATGCTGCTGCTGAAGGGGTTGGACTTGTCCTTCTGTCTGCTGCCCCCTGGTGGATCCCATGAGTATAATGGTTTGGAGAGGCTTGAGGGGCCGGCAGCGGATTTACAACTGGGTATTGAGGCAAAGGATGGGGTCTGAGAATGGGGTGATCCCTGCCCCCTACAAAGAGGGACAGAGGTCCCTCTTTTCCCATTCTCTCTCCACTCAACATGATCCTCTTTCCCATGGCAATGACCTCTACCCAGGCTCTGCCCCGATACCCCAATAAACCACTCCAATGGGCTGATCCCAGGTGTGAAGAAATTGCACTGAGACTAGGAGATCCCTACCAAGCCCACCAATGCCTCCTCCCTCTGCATCTGTGCCCTGCTCTTTCTCCTCTCCTTTTCCACACTCCCCCTTCCTGTCTCCTTCCCATGGACTGGAATCACTGGCCCCAACCCCCCTCGGTTTGTGTGGCTTATGATGTGGGGACATTCAAAGGTGATTAAGGGGTGTTGTAGGTGCCTAGTCCCTGTGGGTTTGGGGGTTGGACTTCTTTAGGGCTCTTTCACAGTGGGTCTGGCTCGGGGCCCTGCTCT